TCAGAAAATTTTCTAGAATTTCCTCAAAATCCCTTTTTCTAATCGTTTGAAAGTATTCATAATTGTGTTCCCGTTTCCCCGGAATGAAGGGGAAAATGTCTGATTGGTTGTAATGTTAATGCCATGACGCAAGGAATTTCCTGTGTTGTGATTGGTGAATGAATCTCAGAATATAGAAAACCTAGCCTGTGTGCTACGTTTACTTGTATTTCGGCTATCTGGAAATAGGCGTGTGAAGTAACCACCGATGTTTGCTGCACCGGTTGCGGGTGCATCTGTTGTCTACCGGTGGCTGTTGTAAATAAAAGAGAAGGACGTACAGAATTCAACGCTAATTCCGAGATCTTATGTATCTGGATTTCAGGCTAGCCTGTATCTGGGTTTCGGCTAGCCTGTGTACAGACGCTAGGGGGCGTCTGTACACAGGCTATATGTGCCGGTCATGACTCGTAAAATTAGATGATCGAAAGTTTGGACTGTCAACACTTTTGCAACTATCAGAGGAAAAGCAAACAAAAATAATTTGTGCAAATTTCTACCGGAACACGATTAACGACGGCGATTCACAGATAGCCTGTGTAGAAACGCCCCCTCCGCTGAAAAAGGGGCGGGGCGTCTGTACACAGGCTATGAATAATCTTGTAACATGTTGTTATGTTTTGAAATGAAATGAAACTTTAATAAATACTCCAAAAAAAAGGTTTTTCAGTACCTATTTACAAATATAAATGCAAGCTATATCTAACAAGCTAATAATTGTTAAATGCTAACTGTCATTCGATCATTCATTCATTACAAGTTTCAGGACTTTCGTAAAGGCCTTTACAGTTGTAGCGTTTCTAAGGTCTTCGTCTAACGTATTCCACAGGGATACTGCTCTGTAGGCGAAGGTACGTTGGTCAGTGGCTGACCTGAATAATGGGATTTCGAACTTCTGATTATTACGGGTTGTGCGATTATGTACAGAAGATCGTTTTTTAAACTTAGCACATATAGGTATTCAGGAGGCTAAACTGCTGGCACACTTATAAGCCATAACAGCGTCTCTGAATTTGAGCATCTTGCTAACTGGAAGCCAGTTGAGTTCGTCAAGTAATGGCGTCACGTGGTCATATTTCCGAGCGCCGCAGATAATTTTGCAGGCGAAATTCTGAATAAGTTGCAGCTTTTGGATGTTCTTAGATGAGGTATTAGACCACACGGTCGAACAGTAGAGCATTTTGCTAAAGACAAGAGATGTAATAATTAAAACCAAAGTCTTTCTATCAAAACAATATTTCACGCGGTTGATCTGAACCAGTTTAGTCAAGCAAGAGGAGACTAAGTGGGAGATATGAGTGTCATAGGTCAGGTGTAAATCTATGTATACTCCTAGATCTCTTGCTGATTCGACAGCCATAAGAGTCTTTCCAATAAACGAAACAGTAAAATTAACTGAATGTTTACTTATCATTTGCTTGGTGCCGATCAACATGAACTTCAACATGAACTATATAATCGCCAGATGTATACTTAATTGAGCTTGGGCTGCCTGTTCTTGAAGTTGCAAAATGAAGTTTAAAAATTAAATTAAAGTACTGCTTGTATTTTTGTTATTTTTTTGTCTATTTTGGAACTTAAGAGAAGGCTTTCTAGTTTTCAAGCTTACTTCTAGGACTTTCAGAATGCCGCATGGAGCTTGGATGATGAAAACGTGCCCGTGAGTCACGCACTGCTTCTCATGAAATTTTGAAATTTTTCACACTTTTTTGGTGTCAAAACGACGTCGACTCTACTCTATGCCCAAGAAACCACACCCGCTCAGCTGCAAAGCCATTCTTGGTTTCACTCCTGATCGCTTGGTCATTCTAAATGAAGATAGAATACTTTACCTTTACTTTTACTTTTATTTTAGTACTCTGTTTATCCCCAAACGCCCTGTTTATAACTAGAACAGACTCGCACAAATCATGCACACTGTTTCGGATTGCCTGCGTCGCAGACGCTCTAAACCTTCTGTATAGAGACTATAGTCACGAGTGCGTGGTCCGGCTGCAACGCAGGCTATGTTTAGGACACACTTGCGCGAAATTGTATACCCCTGTTTTAAGGACAGACTCGTGATCTCTCCACCCAGGCTGTTGAAATCAAAAATCGGCCAAAATCTTATAAAATAATTGCCAAATTCGGTCGCATTTAAAATTTAAACCTCAGCAGCGTTAAAACCCTACTATAAAATGAAAATGAGGGTAGGCCAGGTTTTGAGCTGTGGCCACGGTTTGCTCGATTGTTCTCTGCATTCGCTCTTAACTTTTTCAGCTTTCTTCTCTGCACGTTTAGTAAGTCTTCACTGAACTGAAAAAGATTTTTACTTTCTCTTCGCAAACGCAAACGTATGTGTCATCTCATGAAAGATGCGGGATGAGGATATCTATTTCGGACAAAATGATTTAGGTAAAGGGCTCGTTACGCCGTCACGCCGTTACAGGGTCCCGGGGGGGAGGGGTACTCCCGCGAATTTTGGATAGGGGTGTGCCGCGAAGGTTCGTGAACCCTAACCCTATTTAAGGCCCGCAGCCGAAAAATGACACCCTATTCAAGGAAAAAACAAAATTTATTAAGAGCATGTAAAGGACTTTGTAACATTGGATGTATAGCATCAAGCATAAAATACTAGAATAAGCCTAGCCATTTAACAATATGCAATCATAACCATGATACATCTTTCAATACCGTTTCTTTACTGTTATTACTTTGTTATAGAACTGCAAGTACAATAATCATGTAAGATCGCTGTACAAATACGATCATTAACAACATCCGGCGGTCTTAAATCATGATGAACAAAGCTAACGGAACTAAAAACCGAATGCAAATAAATCAAAAAAAAATTCTTGTGGAGGTTAGGCTTCCCATAGTTCTAATCAACCTCCGCCCTTTTCAATAAAAAGAACGATACCCTGAAGTGTATACTTCACAAGGATTAGAATATATACAATACTCCTTGCTACCCTATCTAAGGACCACACCAGGGACACAGAAACAAAAGGGTAAAAAAAGATACCTTATTTAAGGACCGAGAACCTCAAAAACCATACCCTATTCCGCGGCACGTACCTATATAGCCCATATATGGGAGTACCCCCCCCCCCTCCGGGTACAGGGTTTACTAACAACCGGTTAGATCGGAAATTTTATAATGAGAAAAAGGCAGAAATTATAGGAACTCGCACCTAGGACTTCCTACCCATGAAGCGAGCTCCCTTACCTCCCCTGAAACATTTAACAAATTATTATTTGTTCCACACTTCCTGTTATTACGGAAGGAATCTAGCGAAAACACGGTGATGATTGCATGTGTATAATTGGTGGGAATCACGCGTATCGTTGAGTGTTTATTCAAACAGAATATTAATTGTTCATGAATATGATTCGTTTAAGAAGACCTGTGCTGAAACGAAATAACATGAACCATTTGCCGAAATAAATAGACTGAACTATATAAACGTCAGTCATCTGATCTGAAGTACTGATTCTTACTGTGCGACTGAATTCTTAGAGTCTGCTTATACGAGGTTATGACCTCACAAACTGTCTGTTTGTTGTAAATTGTTTTGCTTACCCGAGTGTATTATCTTTCAGTCGAAACGTAGTAAAATCCATCGAGAGCCCGATCTAGAGCGGGTTCACTGGAGTTTAATGTTAAATGGCTGATAACCTACCTATCCGTGAGTGATAGTGTCACGAAAGTTTACCTCCTGATCTGCTCGTGACGGTTCTTCTGATCTGACTACTCTTTTAAAGCGGCTGAAAACTGAATAAGCGATAGGTAAAGGAAATTCAAACTAGAGGGCTCACTGAAGCTAAATGTAAAATGGGTGATAACCTATCTGTTAGCGAATGTGTAACTGAAGTTTATCAAGCTGCCCGTGGTGGTTCTTCTAATCTGACTGATCTTTTAGAGCGGCTGAAACCTGAACAAAGAAAAACCGCTTTGGAATCGAAAACTAAAGATGGCAGCCATTTTGTCACTCCTCTCATCATCGCTGCTCATAATGGACACCTGAATTCTGTGAAGATTCTTCTAAGATATGGGGCAGACATCGAGGCTCGAGGAACGCTTAACACAGGAGACCAAGTTATAGAGGGTTGTACACCTTTATGGGCCGCTGCTGATACTGGTCATCTTGATGTTGTGAAACTGTTAATCGAACGAAATGCAGATGTTGACAGCAGAACATCGAAGGGTTCGACTCCATTGAGGGTTGCTTCCCACGAAGGACACCTTGACATTGTGAGATGTTTGGTTGAGAGCGGGGCAGATGTGAATACTCGCCATTACAATGAAGGGTCCACCCCTCTAATTGCAGCATGCTACTGGGACCACTTCAGTGTTGTTATCTATCTTATTAACAAAGGCGCCTTTATAGATCTGCAAGCCTACGAGGGCAGCACTGCACTTCACAGCGCTGTTGAACAGAGCCACTTGGAGATTGTCAGTCAACTTTTGGCTCATGGAGCGTCACAACTGCCAAATAATCAAGGTTTAACACCTCTTCTCTATGCCTGTAATCAATGTTCCATTGAAATGGTGGAGCATATCATCAAAAGACCGGAATGTACAAAGGAACAGAGAATTGATGCTCTTGAACTTCTTGGTGCCACCATTGTTAATGATAAATCTCGTGATATTAAGAAAGCTTTTAGTTACATGAAACGTGGAATGGAGATGAGATGTGAAGACCTGGCACATCCATTGCTTAAAAAGAAAATGGAACCTGTGGAAGCTTATCAAAATAGAAAAGAGAGTCAAACTCTAGAGGAACTTGCTCTGTTAGAAGGTGATGATCTTGCTATCGGCCTGGAAGGACTAATAATCAGAGAAAGAATCCTTGGGCCTGACAATCCAGCAAAGCTGCAAACAATTAGATACCGGGGAGCTGTTTTAGCTGACTCTGAGGAGTACGAGCTTTGTATTGGTTTGTGGAAACGAGCGTTGGAGAAAGCCATGAACAGCGATGCTGCAATAACAAAAGATCTTGAAAACTATACAGCTTTATTTGGAGAAATGGTGCAAAAAGGTAAACTTTTAAGATCAAATTTCATTGAAGACGTCTTTGAAATACTGGTTGCGGCAAGTGAGAAACGTTCAGAAAAACAGAAAACTGGAAAATCGCAAGAGGTGCATAAAAATGAGGAGCAAGAAAAAACGCTTTACTGTGCTCTCTATCTTTTGATCATATACATCAAAGTTAAAGGTCAAAACACCAACATCATTAACTTTCTACAAAGATTCTTGCGTTTAAACCCTCGAACCAATGATGGAAATACTCTACTGCACTTAGTTGCGTGGCATGAAACACCATTTTTTTCATTTCAAGAAGAAATTATGCGTAGTGTGTGCAAGCTCCCCTGTATTGAGACCATGAAGCTTATTTTACATGCAGGGGGGGATGTAAATGCCGTTAATGACACCGAGGGAAACACGCCTCTCCATCTAGCTGTGAAGTTTAAACCTGCTGAGCCTGAAGGAGTCGAGATTTTAAGAGAAATGCTGCTGTCGTTGGTAGATATCGGTGCAGATCCAAAGCTAGCAAACAAAAATGGTCAAACACCACTGAAAAGCTGTGAAACTGACGAGGCTCGTAGGATTTTGTCCGAGAAAGGAAGACCAAGTGCCATGAACGTCGACGTCGGAAAGGTAAGAAAGTTTTAAACGTTTTAAATATGTTTAAAAAACATACTTTGATTCCCTAAAATCATTATAGTAACCTTTGTTACGAAATGAGAGAGTGCTTACTTCCGTGTCCTATGTTGTGTTTATCATATTACGTCACGCTAATGTATGCCCTTCTCTATCTGAATTCCTGGAACAGGTTAACAAAATCGTCTCTTTTAGAATGCAACAATTTCTCGCAACACAGATGTTTTAGCCAAAAAAGGATGTTTGAAAGTAGCATGTACAGTCGGCAGGCTCTCAGAGGAAGCTACGGACTGTTATGAACCGTTCGATTTATGTTTGCAAAAAAGAATTCAAAGTATCTCAGTTCGAAGGACAAATTAAAGCGAGAGGCGTCACGGTATTACTATCAATTGACGATCATTCGAAGTAACTTGTAAAACAGTAAGTGCACTCACACATTTTTGTGAATCCCTTTCGCCGTAGGGCTGTTTAGCTACTGCATTTGGCCTCAGTCAATAATTTGTCAGCATGTGTTCAAACGACTTCTTTCCTCTTCACACGACCTGTTATAATTGAGTTTTCACGCGGCCGACTAGTTAGGAAAATATACCGGCATACGGTCCAAGAGCTGATGGCATTTTCTGTCACATGAAACTCACTCTCTAGCGTGTTTAGTGAGCGCTTCCTATACCTTGAAAAGCTTGAAAGCTCATCAGTAAAAGTATTCAAAAAATTATATTAATTTCAAAGCTG